CCCTTTTTCAACGAGTACAAAATAAGACATAAAACTGAACATATTTCATACCAGATAACACAAGCACAGCAATAATCGATAACATTAAATACGTTTAAAAGTTTAAAAGTAAATGCATGAATATAACTACAACTTGATAATATCTGAAGAAATTTCGTATTGTAATTCCGAAATCATTCCGTACTTTACAATCATATTGATACATTCGGTCTTCCTGTTTTCATTTAGAATCGAAAGATGAATGTTGCATAGTATATTACTATGAAATTAGCTAGTATCTAAAGTCATTATTTTTTTTTAATTGGAAATGTTTGCCCTCCACTTCTGGTAGTTCACGCTGCAAATCGTCGATACCGGTTCACGACTTTTGACTTTGACAGTGAAAAAAATATCCAACCGTTTTTTCAAGCCCTACACAATTACCTACTAGCAAGAAACAGAAGAGAGAACCCCAAGGACAGCTTGTGACCATTCTTGACTAAGGGGAAGCAATGCAGGCTTGGCTATGTATGATGGCTCGTTTCGAAGCTGAGACATTTTCACATATGTGGTTAAATTTTTGGGGTACGAAATGAGATTACTTTTTCCGTAAATTAGCATACCCCGAAAATCCTTTCGTAATGCGGCTCCTCGAGGTAAAAAATCCCTTTTTTAACACAATAAATTCTTTGAAAATTTAATACTTTGAACACATTTAATAGCTCCATAGTTTTTACACATTTATTCTATGTTCATCTACTTTCCAAATCAACACAAATGGTTAAGCTCAGTCACTTGTTAAAAAAAGAAACATGTCCAATATCACTTCACAGAGATTTTTTGATTACACACAACTTTTGAGGTCCTTATTTTGAGGTGCATTAGGGATATTAACCCATTTACTCCATTAAGGAGTCGTCTGACGATTTTAGATCTTGTTTTCCAATAAATATTCTTTATATTTATTAAAGTTTTCATGGTAATTAGTAAAATAAAAAAAAGTGTAAGCATTTGACATTGATGGAATAAACTCCTATAAGAAGTTTTCTGACAGTTTTGACGTAAATAAACCGATGATCGATCTCCTCAACATTCTGAATATTTCAGCCTCTTTCAGATTGTCTCTAATCAAAACAATTTCAAGACAATAGACACAACTTGCAATACACCCTATGTTCGACCATCTTTGTTGGCATTTTTTCTAACAAGATACCCAAATGATGATTGTGACCACACTTCGTTAAATTTGGCACTGCCGTTTCAGATAGGAAGATTATTATGAGGTATTTATCAAAAATGTAAAATACGGTAGAAATTGTCTTTAAAGGGCATTAAGGAGTCGTCTAACAGTGTAGCCCATATTGATTTACTTAGAATTTGATCTTTCTAACATTTGTTTCCGATTAAAGCTTCTCTTTACCTACCTGTTTTCAAAATAAACAACAATGAAAAACAAGGTGAAATTTAACATTTAAGAGCAAGGCGTCTGACAGTTTTGACGTAAAAGACAGCAGGTAGATCTCAAAATACTAAACGTGTTCCCCCTGTCAGATTCCCTTTCTATAGCGGTTTTCAGAACTATTTTTTTTTAGTATAAAAGACAAAACTTGTATTTACATCCTATGTTCTATTTTAGCCATGTCGTTAATCTTGTTTGACAGGCGGGGTCATGGGACACATTTTTTAAACTACTAAGGTCCCCTTATGCTGATTGTGTTTTGTTAAATTTGGCCCAGTAGTTTTAAAGGAGACATTTTTGTTAAAACTAATGACGACGGTCGACGACGGACAACGGACGACGACCGACGCCAAGTGATGAGAAAAGCTTATTCGGCCTTTCAGCCAGTAGAATTAAAAAATGACAAGAAAACAAAACAAAGACAAAAGGATTACCCAAACCATTAAACAATAAGTATCTCATTTGTTTATTAAACAAATTGAAAGGGTTTTCCCTTAAAAGTCTGATATTGGTAATCTTTTATTTAATATACGAGAAGCAAACCGTCTTGAACTTTTCATTTTTTGCAATTAATGGCCCTAATGTTAGAAATTGGAAGTTTGATATTTTTGTAATATACACTTGATGACTTTTCATTTGATATGAAACAACTCTAACATCTACGACACTTTATTTTTTGCTATCAAAGATCTCCTCAGCTCATTTTTGGGAGACATAACTATGGTATTTGAAATGTACGCTTTATGGACTTTCATTTGATATGCGACAACCTTACCATCTTAGAAGTTTTAATTTTTTCACTAAATGACCCCGAACGAAAATAAGTGTAGCATTTCCCTTTTTGAATACAGCTAATTAAGACATTCAAAGAGATATATCACATTATCTCATCTGACAAAGCCCAAAAAAAGAAGCAATATCAATTTTATATGTAGAACTTATGAAATTTACAAAGTCAGGGTAAAATATGAAATCGCAAACTGCTTATTTCAATTTCATAGGCTGTGTATGTGCAGCTTTCTCTTTTCATTTTCTAAATATTCAAGCTTGAAATTTAAGCGTTAAATATTTTTGCACTCTATGACCTTTGATCTTGTGTTCAAATGATCGATCACATTAACTTATTATCATTGGTAAAGGTGCGATGTATCCGCGACCTCCGGTTCTCGAAAGATTAATTTTATAAAAAAATTGTAAAATATTTCTAGGGAAGTCACTCTGAAAAAGTCTGATACCAAAAAAAATCATTATGTTAATTAACACTGCCTTCTGTTCTTTTAAATGTTGCTAGTTTTGTATCGATTTTATCTGTAACTATCTTTAAGATAGATGCAAATAAAAACAAAATGTTTAATGGGGATATAACTCTAAAAGGGGACGATGAAATCCTTCGCAGCAACATCTGGTAAAACTTCATGATGAGATCTACCAATTGTCCAAATCAGGTTATATTTTCAAAAACACATATGAGGGAAATGTTGAAAAGACAACAATAAAACGGAAATAACGCGTATAAAGTGGATGATGAATTCCTACATAGACCTAGGGCATTTGGTAAGACTTTATGATGAGGTCTATCGATGATCCAAATTTCGTCATGATAACTTCAATAGAAACGGTGGGGCCATTTCAAAATCATATTGAAATAGACAAAAAGAAAAAAAAACAAGGCACTTTTTAAATATATTGAATGGTTGCTATACACTTTCCAACTGTAAATGAACGGTCCCAAGGGCCTTTGTGGGAATATACTCCCGTAGTATTAACCCATTGATTACTTTAGTAAATTTTTTAGTGATACAGATTTATACATTACAAAAATATACGAGAAGTGTTAATTTTGCACTGTTCTTAACAATTTTTTAATTGAATTAAGTTTGTCCAAGTTGCAAATCCCTGCTTACTTGTATTACGTCTACATTGGGATTTATCTATTATACATATTTATTTCTGTCATAGGGTAAAGTATAAATTTCATATATATATATAAGAAGATGTGGAATGAGTGCCAATGAGATAACTCTCCTTACAAGTTACAATTTGTATAAGTAAACCATTAGAGGTCAAAGTACGGTCTTCAACATATAGCCTTGGCTCACATCGAACAGCAAGCTATGACGGGCCCACAAATAATAGCTAGTGTAAAACCATTCAAACGGGAAAATCAACGGTCTAATCTATATTAAAAACGATAAACACTCATGAACTACATCAACAATCGACAACCACTGAGCACCAGGTTCCTGACTTAGAACAGTTGCAAAGAAATGCAACGGGTTTAAACGTTTTAATAGGTACCAACCTTCACCCTTACCTGAAACAATATTGTAACATCACAACATAGAAAGACACACTATAAAATATCAATTGAATTGACTTAACTCAATCAAAAGACATATTAACACAAACAACTGAATATACACTGAAGGAATAAATTTGATCTATGACACAATGTAAATACAAAATCAATAAAACAAGGGGTGATATGTTAAACAATTTCAGAAAAACAGCCATAATCTTGAACAAATTGCCACCAAATAGAATAATGTACACAGGTAAATGAAAATAATTTTGTACAGTAATGGAGAATGGAAATATTTTTTACAAATATGCATTTGTATCCTCGATATTTGGTGTAAATAATTTTTGTAAATTACATGAAATGCATGTTAAGCCCGTATTCGAAACAGTCGATGATACCAAAGTAGGACATGCAGTCATCACAGCCAACCTTGTAAGATTTTCATCTTGACAAAATAATTCATCAATCAAAAAAGGACTGATTCAGCATGATTGGTAAAGCAATGCGATTGGTTAATATTCAAACCAAATTGAAATGCATAAGGGTTGTTCTTGCTAATACACACTATATAATGATCAACATTCATGTTGTCCATATGTTTTATTCAAAACGTCAGCCCGAAAGAATAATGATGAAATATAACAAGGTAAGAATATTAATTTATTTCATTTTTGGAAATACTAATATGATTTTTTTTTTAATTCATTATTTTAAATTTTAGGAACTAAGAATGTATTTAAGTATGGGATAAGAAGAAATTTAAGCATCTCTTATTACTGCAATTTCAAACATTTTTCGTAATTTTTTTTTATGTAAAAATGTTCAACCATTGTCCATACAAAATACTTTTGTGTATTAAAATTTCATATTTGACCAAACATGGAGAAGGTATATATATATATACATAATTGTATGTGTACAGGTGTTCAATAAGTTAGTGATATTTTATGGTAACCATGAGTGTTAATTGTGGTCATAATTTCAATCTCATTAATTACAAATATAAAGGACCATAACTTTTTAATCATATTTTGTAATTTGAGTATCCTTATTATGCGACAATCTGCATGCCCCGTTACTGAAAGTGTCTAGAGCATTGAACTGTGAACGCGTCCTTTTTTATATTTCTTGGTCATAAACATTGCAATGGCATTTGACAAACTTAAACATTCTTTCTAAATCAATTTTCTTTATTTGCTAATTATTGATGTTATACAATATTTTTTATAATGTAAGTTTTAATTACAGCTATATCTGCTAATAATTATGGCATTACTGTATATAAGTGCTTATAAAGCACAGATCATACCGGGACGTAATCCAAACGACCAGCAGCCAGAACTTTTTCTGATCGATGACAGAGGAAGTTTAGGTAAAATTATTTATAATCCATTCATATTAAGTTAACTGGTTATTTCATACAAATCTTAGTCACTACTTTTGTCTAAGCATGAATCGCTTTGTATACCTTTTGCATCATGAAACATTCTGTTTTACCGGGTGATATTAAACCTTGGGCCTATTCATACATGTAGGGTACAAAAAATACTATTTCAGAAGCAGAAAACTATAAAGATAGAGTCTTCAGATGCTATTTGACTGGACGTGAAATACACAATTCATTCCATCTAGAAATGTCAGTTTTGAAAGGACTTGAAAAAATAACTGATAATGCATGTCCGAATTTTTTTGTAGCTGTTCCTCCGAATTTATATTCCAATAAAAAAGAATACAATTCATATGGAAATCCAGTTCCAACTTCAAATATGCATTCAATTTCCTTAGATCTATGTCCCGTGATGTAAAACAAATAAAGGCAAGCTGTAAAAATCATTTGGATAGGCTTTGACTCCCCTTAAACCACAAAAAATCAAAGTAATAGAAAGACCAAAAGACAAAACAGACAACGTAACGATATTTAAGTACTCAAATCTGTTTGTTTCTGTTTGGTCTAACAGGCTCTATTTCCAGCTTTCGACCCCTCAAAGACCTTCCGCCTTTTTCTCTTTCAATTGAGTTCAATGGTTAATATTACAACAATATTTCAAACCGTTTCTTTATTTCGTTTTCTTCTGTGTATATATTTTTAATTTGATAAATGGAAGCCTATTTGTTATTCTTTGTTTTTCAAAGTAGAAGTATGTTTTCGCATTCTTTTGTACTGGTAATTTGTAAAATTATCGGCATATTTGTGGTCATGAAAAATATTTTAGATTTTTATAATTCCAGTATATGGAATCAAATACGAAGTTTTTGTTATGATTTAAGAGTTTCTTTATTTTTAAGAGTCAAATTTATATTATGAATAAAACAGTGATAAATCAGAATGATTCATAAAAAAGCATACGCAAATTTGCATTATATTCTATATACTAGAAAATAAAGAGTTTCTATATTTTTAAGGGTAAAATTTGAATTATGCATAAAACAGTGATAAATCTGAATAATTCACAAAAAAAACATACGAAAATTTGCATTATATTCCATATACTGGAAAATACAATTGGAACCTGTTTTTATTACCACAAATATGACGATAATTTACAAAAGAATTTATGTTGGGAAAACGCTTATTTAAGAATTGAAGTGAAATTTTTTTTTTCAATTTCTTCAATTGGATTTGATTTACAAATAATAAAATTGAGTCGAGTTTAACCATTAATATTCCTTTCCAACCTGTTTCTTTATTTTGTTTTCTTCCGTGTATATATTTTAATTTTATGAATGTAAGCCTTTTTTGTTATTTTTGTTTTTAAATTAGAAGTATGTTCTCTCATTGTTTTGTAAATTATCGTCATATTTGTGGTAATGAAACACATGTTACAATTCTATATTCCAGTATATGGAATCTAATGCAAATTTTCGTATGCTTTGTGTGTACTTCAACTAACTTCCAGTTTCAAAATTAATAAAATATTTCCTGTTTGTAACCGGAATATCAAATATTAAAAATAAATGGTTTGTATATCAAGTCGACGTAAACAGTAAACGCATCGAAGTTATTCGAAAAACTTGGAACGCTCAAAGATACACGAAACGCAGAGGGTACAAAGGGAAAGACAGACTAATACAAAAAACAATACTAATATGTACCAAATTATAAGCCTGGTACCTTTGATTACTAATACGACAAAGACAGACTTTCAAAATAAAATAAAAGACTAAGAAACACGCATAAAACTTTAAAAGACTGGGGTAATTCCAAGTATCCAGAAAGGGTAAGCAGATAAAATTCTGAAGAATACTTTCAAGAAATCATAAATTCATCTTGACGTTACATAAAATAATCATTTGTTTCTTATTTTCAGAAACCTCATTTTTGGATGGGTCTCGATTTGGCACAGGATCAGATTTTGGACTCCCTCCTATTCCTTTTTTAGCCATAGCGTTACTTGTAATACCAATGGTAATGATGACAATGATGAGTACTTCTGAAACAAGTGTTGCACCAAGACCTGTTGTACCAACATTTGTGTCGGTTACTGTTCCAACAACACAAGCAGCTGTACAAACGAGTTAGTATTTTTTATGAATAATGGACCTTTACCTAAATAATCTCCTATGTCAAAGATACTAAGAATAATAACAGATTTACAGTTTGTTGATATTGAAACCGTTCGCTCCTTAATTACGTTAATTGTGAAAGCTTCTACTTTTATAGATTAAAAAATATAATTACATTTCCATCAAACTTTTTATCCAAATCATGCCACTCTTCATGCCACATTAGCCGTTCTCCAAATAACCATCATCATTATGTTAATTTTCCGTTTCTTTTTTTTCGGGGGGGGGGGGGGGGGGAGGTGGTTAAACATCAAATTATTCTTTTCAATTGTACGTGACGCGTAAAGCTTCGTATGCATACAAATGGCTATCAAAAACACAAGTGCCACGGTAGGTTGTCTGAATTTTTTCTCATGGGCACGTTTTATTATATGATAGAGTGTGGTGCAAAGTACTTGTCCATATGCTAGTTTGTATCTTATTTTACATGTATTCAAGTCTTAAAGAAATGATAGTTTTCTCAAACATTTCAACACACTTGCCTGACAAGGAACATTGACGGTCACAGTTGAAGCCGAAAGATAACAAATTAAAGCAGTAATTATAACTTGTGACGAACATAAATAAGTTATTTATTGCACTATCTATTGGTTAATACAATCATTTTATATAGATTATTCTCTGTGTGTAAGTCGTCAAATGAACTAGGAGATTCATTTGACGAAATTGTTTTTTTCCATGTTAGAGATATTTAATTAAATTTAATTTGCATCATGTGAATTTCGTATATTTTACCTTGTAATGTTTGTATATGTACCAGTTTAACATGTTTGTGTTGTTCATTTCAATAATTAACTCATCTTGTGTCATATGAATAGCGTCATGTGTTCCAACAAATTGCCCTGCAAGATATAGGTTATTGAATGACCAAACTGATAGTCCTAATTGTTACGTCTACAGCGAAGATCAAACGCAAATATGGTCTACTGCTCTGGTGAGTATGTGTTATGTTGTTTCAGATTTAATTACTCTTTGTTATAGTAGGCTTTGTTTTGACTGGCTGATAACGAATGTAACAAATACGAAATTTGGTCCAATTCAATCATCCCTTGGAGAATAAACAAATGGATAGACCTTTCTTATGTCAATCATTATACTTATCTGACGCATATATTGTCTTGGTCATCATTTACGGACACGCTTGATATTTGCAATTTATTAAATGTAATTCCTTTGCTACGGATAGGAGTCGAAATAACAGTGTATTTCGAATGTTTAATTTGACTTTCTTATTGATATTTGATGTAATTTAACAGCTGTTACTCGTCCAGGAGAAGTATTTACAAAAAATAACACACTTGAGATCACATTTAATACGCCTAGTATTCCTTTGCTAGATGTTTTGGTTGCAAACATCTTTCATGGACACAATGTTTATCTACAAACTTTTGTTCCATGAAAATTAGCATTTTTGAGTTATGAAGCATGATTCGAGGATTATTGGATATCAATGAAAATATAATTTACAAACTAAGAAACTGCATAATTAATATGTCTTTTTTTTCAATTTTAGAAGGCTTGTACCGATACACCAGGAGCATACCTATGGAGACCAAATTCACGAGAAGAAGCTGATGCTGTCAAAAATACGTTTGGTTTCGGTAAGTTATGAGTACAGAATTTGAATATTTTGTTCGTTTATATATTAAAACCTCTATGTACTATGCCATGTATTCATTGACAAAGCACTCTCATTTACTTATTCTAAGTAAAAATGAAAAAAAAAATCCTATATCAGTTTTAAACATATATCAATTAAATACATGTATCGAGACACATAGTTTTTTGTCATCTATTTGACTGACATGCTTTTACGTAAAATATGGATAGATCGTGGACATCTGATTTAGGTTACTCATTGTGATTTATTTTAAAGAGTGAAAAAAGTGTCAAAACTTGAGATGTAGATTGCGTTTCTCAAGCTTAGATTATTAAGTCAAGATGCAATTCTTCTAAGCTTTGTGTTTTGTGTTTTTTATCCTCGTATCTAGGGTATCTTATCACCATCCAAGGGCGACAAGGTGCAAACTATCTTCAAAGTGTCAAGAAACTTTGTTTATAAATACTAGGAATAGTTGATAGCCAATGTTAAGTACCGAATGTTGTTAATTTTGCTGTAAAATTACTAAGTTCCCAAATCTTGAATAACATGAATAATGTGGGATCTGCAAATAGGAATTGCAACACATTAATACATGCGTAATCGTTTGGCGATGTTACAAGGATCCCGGCTAAAACAGAATTGATTGCAGAACTGTAACTAGCATAGAGCCTGTTTTTGCATTTAATTTTGACCAAGTAAAAGTTCTGAAAAAGATTTTCAAAGCTGCTTCATTTAAGAAAAAAATTTCTTTAACCTCTGATTGAGAAACTAAAACACCAACCACACTATACTGCTTACAGATAAATGTTACTCCACCTTCTACTTACGGAAGATTTTCGAAAAGGAATGCGTAGATATAAAATCAATCAAATATATGCATAACAAAAGCCTATACAACCTTTAGGATCAAAAAGAACAATGCGACTATAAATAGCTAATCCCTGACAATTTTATTGAATTTTATTAGTTTGTTTGAAAGGATAATATACGAATTTGACATTTCGTTATCTTGAAACGATTGATTTTCTATTACCTATTTGCCAATTAAGCAATATAGTTATAAACGATGTTTAAATTTTAATATCACGTTAAGCATATTTCGCTTGTAGTGAATTTTGATATTTCTACCATTTCAGACACACTTAGAATTAGTTTAATAGTTGGGCCTGAAAATACGGTTCACTATGTACACACACATAAGGGTTACCATGAACCAGCCTGGAGTGGAAATCTAGTGCTTTTTTATAAAAGAAGACAACTTCATAAGTAGTAGATTTGTTTTATTTTGATAACATTCATTTCGGTGTAATCCCTGAAAAAAGCCACATCTGCAGAGCATGGAACGGCATGATCTACGATTCTAATATCTACGATTTTAAAAATGTACACCCTAGGACAGTAGCCCTTCTAGACTGTTAAAATCTAAGAGGTCCCGATATGAGGTATACAAAAGGAATTAAAAACAAATACGTTAAGGCGGCAACAGATCATGATTTATTTCTTATTTTATATTTTATATTGTTCACATATTTCTACGATTATGACCATTCCTGATGAATCTAAATCCACAAATTAACTTCGGACGGATCGGATTGATAAAGAGTTATTTTCATTTCAATTTTACTCCGTCCAAAAACTTAAGCCAAACCATTATACAATCCTTGTGATTCCAAATATAACTCTTGTTCCTATGCATTAAATTACTAAGTAAAGTAGGAGTGGTTTACCGATGTCAAACAAAATAAATCGATTAAGAGGACAAATTAGGGCAACAAAATTAAACATGGAAAATCACATGAATTCCGAATGGTGCAAGACCGATTGCGTCGACAGGATAAGCGTCTACTGCTTTGCATATTGCATCCGCCATGAGAACTAACATTCAATCAGAATTTAACAATCGGCAATAGAACAAAATCAGTCACATTACAGATTAGATGAGTTTTCTGTTATCAAAATATCTAAGACTGCCAAATCATGTCGCTAGTGGGTACAAACACAAACTATTGATCGTACCGATTATCACATTTGTGGTGGTGATTACTTATGTAGTGTCAAGTTAAGTCGTCTTTTTTAATAACTCTGTATTGTGTAACTGACTTGAATAATGAATCTTCCTATGATACTAATTACAATTCTATTCTTCTTAAGGAAATGATTTATCTATATGGACTGGCGCACATAGTCCTAACCATGACGAGAATTTTGTATTTGCCGTTGAAAATTCTGCTTTTTTATTGTATAATGTTCCATTTGGAGGATGTAAGTTTTACTATCTAAGATGATTGAGTAAAACATGTGTAGTTAAAATGTTCTGTTTATACGACTAATATTCTGTTATTGGATGTGTAATCAAGAAATACTTAAATATTTATGAAGAAAAAAACAAAATATACATGTCAAAGAAACAATGACCAATTTACACAAAAACAATAGACACAACGAAGTCAACATTAAGTCTTCAAAGTATACAGTCTTTAGGCTGTTTTCTGCTCTTTGGTCGGGTTGTTGTCTCTTTGAAATATTCCCCATTTCCATTCTCAATTTTATTAAATCGTCCTGAGCCTAGATAAGCAGATCAGTTGTTTTAACTGAGAGAATCAAAGACTGTACATTCCAGTAGATTCACAAAGACAGCAAACAGATATAATGGATTACAAAAAACCACCAAGAACAAGCTTACTGACTTTAAACGTGTGGCGAGGGAAAATCAGTTTGTAGGCTGTTACGGGTCATCAGTATTTTGGGTAAAAAATAATACACATACGATTCAGAAAACAAACCAAAGTAACAATCAGTGCAATCAAATAAACAACAAAAGGAACAAGATGAGTCAAATGTCACAACCAGAAATAGGAAACAATCGGTAAAATAACATTTAAGAAGATTATTCTGTGATCTTGAGATCTAAGACTGCAAACATGTCGCTGATAATGAGTTGATTTACAGAGATGTCGTATCGGTTAAACAATTTGTGATGATGACTGTAAAACGTATGAAGTGTCAATTTCTGTCGTTCTTCCTCACACCTCTGTTCGAGCAGTTTTTATAAAAAAAAAGCACAACACTGCAAATGTAGTCCGTATAATGTGAACATGCTCGAGCATAACATATCAATTATGTAAAACATATAAGTAAAACCCATAAGATGAAGCAGAGGGTATGTTACTGTTGAGAAATGGGAAATCATCATGTTTTCAATAAAGCTATTTGATATATTCGTATGACATTGAATCAATTGTATGCATAAATGTCAGGTAAGAAAAAAGGCTCAGAGACTTTCGACGAATTGATAATGTGCACACTGATCACTATTAAGCAAATTGTTGTCGATTGTTGTTGTGACCTGTTAAAATGCCAATTTAAAAACATTAAGAATCAAGCAACAAAAAAAACTACATTGTACGCTTGTTAAATTATTAGTATTTATAAGTTAATATCTTATGAATTTGTTCTTTTAAATGACAATTCACATTAGTTATCTCTATTCCTCATCAAATTTTGTTAGATTCTTTACTACTTACAATCCAAGATGGCGAAAGACACCCATACTACCTTAAACACTAATGTTAAGATAAATACGTTTTTAAATTTTTACAGTAGACGAGGATGATATCGGGGAGGACTGTGTCAATATAGAATTTGATACTTCAGATGGCTGGGAATTTGAAAATGAAGAATGTGATGACCAATATCGATTTATTTGTGAATTTCCAAGGGTTAGTATGAACATTCTTTTTAGTGTTTCTGAAAATATTCAATATATCTTTTGTATCATATTTGACATGCTGAAGCAAGATCACTCGTGTACATTTAGACTCAAGTACGTGCAAAACCAATAATCAATCTCATCGTCATAATGTTTTGCCTTTTTGCAAAAGAAATGATTGTAAACAAAGTAAGAAAATCGTAAAGAATGTTTAAATGGGTAACAATATCTTACTTATTTTTTTTCTTTCTAAAAGTCTTAGATAAATTGGGTATAACTAGCTAAAAGCTAGTTGTTAATTTCTGTGTCATTTGGTCTCTTGTGGAGATTTGTCTCATTGGCAATCATACCACATCTTCTTTTTTTTTATAATGTAAAACTTACGATAGTACCTATCTTCAATTGAAGAACGCAACATATTAATATAACATTTATGCAAAAGTTTAAAATCCAAGAAATTAACATTTGACAATTAAATATATTCATTATTTAAACTTTACGAGCTTTCGCATTTTGAATCAATGAATATTATAATAGGTCAAATTAAAATTCGCTTATTCCAAATGCGGTTTAGTGTTAAATAAGTCGAAAAGAAACTGACAAAAAACAACAAAAGCAACAAAAGACAAACAACAGTCTACCAACACCTACAAAGAACTTCTCAACACCCCACCCTCCTCCACCTCCCCCCCCCCCCCCCCAAAAAAAAAAAACAAGTATTGTGTACCACTAAGTTTGATTATGTTGATCAAGCATTTTTGAACATTTCATCTCAACTTAACTATATGAGCTAGTTTTACATATGTTGTTATATTTAGATTAAACTATATTATGTTTTTTCTTTCAGAAAACCTGTCCGTAGAAGTGTATGTAGCCGTTGATATATTCCAATAGACGAATATTTCTTATCCTTGGCGCAAAAAAAATAAAATCATATTGTTCGTGTTACTAATTTGTTTAGCCTTGATCAACCAATAGCAGGTATTCCTCCAATTTCTTTAATATAAAAATAAGGAGATGTGGGATGATTGCGAATGAGACGACAACTATCCACCAAAGCACTAATGAAGTGAATGTAAGCGATTATTGACAGCCGAGTGGCCTCTGATAGTGACAAAAACATAGCCATTTGTTATAATAGTTAAATCGATTTTTGACTTATGTCTATTGAACAGCGGTATACTACTATTGCCTTTAATCATACCGTATAATCGGCTGTTATCAAATGGTTATATGTACCGACAAAAAAATATGAAACAATTTATTTGCGAAAACAGCTTAATTTAAAAAAAAATAAGCATCTTTCAAGAATGTGCTTAGATTCTAAACACAATCAAGCATATATTCCTTCCATTGCTCCTTGGCAAGGCTTTATTATTCACATTGAACTTAACATTTTAGTTTTAAATCGATATCGGTTCTCGTTGGGGAGGGGGCACTTCAATACATAATTGCAGGGGTGTCGCTGTGGTTCTGTTACCCCACCCTTTTCATATAATTTAGATCTTAAAAATGTATACCTTATCATATATTATGTAGGTAAAAAATGTTACCTTTTTCCCATATTGTTTTGGTTTCTTGGTGTGTTATGTAAGAGTGAAATACCAAAGTGTCAAAGGAGAGAAAATTGTATGATAAAAACTCAGATGGAAACACAAAGAAAGATGATAGACGAAAAAGTGTTATAGAATCTTTATTGACCTTATCATATATTTCTGATAGTTTTCCCGACCTATTCACATAGTAGCCCCTACCATTATAGATTTTAAAGCAAATCAAATATTAAAAAGATAAGAAGAATAAACACTGTAAAAGAGCACCAACTTCAATAGTAAGACATAACTTTTACACCGCATTCCCTTAGATGAGTGGCTAAATTATCCTTTGTTAATAGCATGAGACCAGAAAGTACCTAGATATATAAACTTGCCAACAGACGATACTGCAAGACTTTAAGACAACCTTGATTTACGTTCTCAAAATCAGAATTGTTAATTCATTCATCTTGTAATTATAGTCTACACGTAACATAATTACTTTCTTTAAGCTCTTGCCAACTGTTGTTCCTTTGTAGAGATAACATATGTTTTTTTTTTATTATAAACTACAAAGTCACATGCTTAATTCTAATCTATTTGATTTGCCTCCTGGAAACAAGTGTAATACGCATAAAAGGAACTTGTAGGTTGATATATATCATCAGTTTTTATGCCCCGTCATCAAGATTGGGGCATTCTTTTTTAGTCAACCTATTAGCCTTCTGTCAGTAAGTCTGTTAGTCCCTCTTAGTTTAGGCAAAACGTTTGGGTTAGTTTTGGTCAGCAGGAGGTTACAGTCAAGTCAACTTATACTTAGTACGCTTGTTCATTGTCATGTAAACCCTTAAAAAATATTCCATCTTTTGGTATTGTCCTATATCTAACGGTTCAGTGAACGTAAAAGAGAGATGAAAGATACCAAAACGTACATTTAAACTCAAAAGTCAAAAACAAACTGATAACGATATGGTTGACAAACCAAACAATCAATAGAATACATACACAAAAAAGGCTGATCTAGACAAGCCCAAAACAAAAACTGGGTCGATATCATGTGCTATGGAAGGGTAAACAGATCCTGCTCCACATGTGACATCTGTCACGTTGCTCATGAACGTACAAATTCCGTGATAAGTCTAAATCAGTATGTCACATTCAGGGAAAAGATGACGTAGATATATAGAAAATTGATCGAGAAATTTTCTTGTTGATGTTTATTAATAAATATTTGTTTAGTTCTAATATTTATGCAATTATCAGTGTTAGTGACACATTAAATTCACATATAAGAGTGTTGCAACGTTATCCATTGCGATGGGATGAGTGTGTATTCATTTCAACTAATGCTACTAACTTTAAGTTTGCAAAAAAATGGATTTATGTTAGAATGAAAACCACTATGAAATAAATCAACGATGGAATGAGTGCATGTTGATTTCGGTGAACTGAGGCTATTTACATGACATAAAGCTTGAAGGTTGTCTACATTAAAATAAACTAGAGTTGAACACACCTTAAAACGTACATACTTTCGAAAGCAGGATTAATTTGATTTTGCTTTTACAGCAAGTTAACTCGGTACATGCATTCAAAGCTGTTAATTGAACAAGACGTTGAGGAAAACGAAAAAAAAAACTAACAAGGGAACGACAATTTATGTTTTTTTCCTAAAAAATTTATTTGATCTCCAATAAAAAAATATTGTTGTCAAGCAGATGACAGAAAACCTTTTTGAATCCAGACCCCCCCCCCCCCACACCCTCTTTGAAGTTAGATAGTTGCTCCTTAACAACATTCCTAACATAAAAAAAAATTATAGCATTTTTTTATATCTTACAGAAGAACGCACCATATAAAATGATTACAACATATATTCTCGGGGCTTATTGCAATAGAGGCGAGGGATACCAAAGGGACATTTAAACTCATAGGTCGACAATAAACTGACAACGCCATAGCTAAGACAGAAAAAGACAAACAAACAACAGTACACAAAACAACATAGAAAACTAAAGACTGAGTGAAACGAACCCAACCAAAAACTGGGGGTGATCTCAGGTGCTCTGGAAGGGTAAGCAAATATCGCTCCAAATGTGGCACCCGTTGTGGTTGCTCATTTAGGTACAAACTCGGTAATATGTCTTATTCGGAAAGTCACATTCGGGGGAAGGGATGTGATTGTAGTTACGACAATGGGAACATATCCGTCGTCATTTGCAAAACGGATATTCCATAACGATCAACCAACTCGTGATGGCGTCTGTAAAATATACGAAGGGGTGATTTCAAATTCACCAATTGGAAATTTTTGTTTACTAGCTTCCTGTTTATCAGCAATTCTTTATCAAGGAAATCATTATAGGAAACACAAGCCCTAGAATATCGTATCACCTGCGAGATGCAGCTGCAATGTTGCTACATAGAAATAGAAATTTTAAAAGTGGACTTGAAATAATCTTTTGTGTCGTAAAATTTGGTTTTAAAACGACTGGTTAAAAACAAAACTTTTAATAAGAGCTTAATAGATAATGATGTGTTGGTTAATTATGTAGTAAAAAGTAAAATAACAAAATACCTAACTCCGAGGAATATTCAAAACGGTAATTCACTGATCAAATGGCAAAATCAAAAGCTCAAACACATCAAACGAATTGAATAACAACTGACATATTCCTGACTTGACACATGCACTTTCTTCTGTAGAAAATTGTGGATTAAACCTGGTTTTATAGCTAGCTTAACCTCTCACTTGTATGACAGTCGCATAAAATTCCATTATATTGACAACGAGGTGTGAACAAAACAAACAGACATAATAGGTAAAAATGAAAAAAATAGGAGAACAGCAGTCAACATTGTGTTATAATCTTAATCATTATAAAACAAACAAATATGCCAACAAAGTAAAACAAAAAGTCATTGAGACAAAGCACATCAGCAAAAACGAAAGAAAAAAGAATACAAAAATTTTCCATAGCACAATAACACAATGACAGGACCGAGCCACGTCAAATAAATATTACCAAAAATAGACTAAACAGAAAGTAATAATTTATAAAGACAAATAAAAGAATACTGTAACACGTTAGTAAGATGATAAACAACGTCAGTACCTAGAATCTATACTTCAAGACCATTGTGTATTATTTGTGTACTTCATAAGGAATATTTATAAACAAGGTCTTAGTATCTTCCAATGAATTTTAGAAAAAGGACGAGAAGTTCTTGTACATACCCCTGGTTCATCAACTTTCAACTCAGACACTGGTGACGTTTTACAAAGTCTGAGGAGCAGCTGCAAGCACTTGCATACCGAATGAGTTGGAGAAAGTATATTCCATATGCAGCTGAAGTTGGTATATTGCTACTACGTTGGGGGGGAATTGATAATTTCAAAATTAAAATCGTTTCGTTTGTCATAGATTCTGGTACTGAGAGGACCGCTCATGTCATATTCGAGGTATGAGTCTAAAAATGAGGCAGAGGAAGCCGTGTCTGTTGATTCTTTAATTTCTAGTTCTGGAGGATATATTAATGGAACCCAAACAGAAAAATTTGGATTGTTAATGGAAGGATATATGAACGTGAAATTTAATGATTTGGCTTCTTTGATCTTCGTGTTTTTGACAAGTGTCTAAAGGAACTCCGACTCATATGAAAATAAAAAAAGAGGTCGGCAAGGAAAGGCGTACAGTTCGTTCCCATAGGAATGTCGACAATTTATTGGAAAAGTCTACCTCTAAATTCAACAAATATGTAGTCAATAAGAAACTGAAGCATAATGATCCCTTGTTCCTCTGTGTAGCATGTTTTACTTTTTTGTTCACCATAATTTTAACAAAATATGCCGAAGTGTATACATTGTACCATAAAATAAAGTTCCTCAATTGAGATTTAGGTTTTTTCTTTTGTTTTTTTTTTTAAGTTTCGGGTCAGGAATATATGTCATAGAAAAGATATGCCTTCTATTCAATAGTATAGTTAAGAAACTAGCTCATCTCATTAATGACCCACCTGAGATTACCGTCGGTTTTTGATGAGGTTCGTGTTGCTCAAACTTTGATTTTTGATGTTTTGTTTTATAGACTGTTGTGTGTCTGTTAGTGTAAGTTTTTCAGAATTTTTTCACGGAGCTGTTAGTTTGTTGCTGAGGTGTTCAGCTTCTCTTGTCCAGATGACAATCGAATAAAGTATTCTATTATTCTAATCACAGGACAGTATTACGATGTCAATCTGTTTTTTACATTAAAAAAGATAACACAGTTGCATTTAATAATAAAGGCCCCTTAAATAATTAATCATTGCAGTACATTTTAATTGATTTTAAAACGAAGGTTGATATTAATGTTTATATTCCAAAAGTTGTTGTTCAGACCAATTGATATTTAATATTTCTATTTT